GTTTTTAGGATATTAATTTTTCCCTTCGTTGTCCCACCACCGTCCTACGCATATGGAATGTCCGCGTGGCTGGGAATCACAGTGGGTTGGAGGAATTCTTGGCTGGGTCCCAAGGATCTCCCCATCCCGGACACCTTTCTCATGCCTTGGTCCCGGGAAGCGGCTTCCACTACACCGACGTCTGCGCTTCCCGCGCTGCTAGGCGGGCCCACAGTACAACCTCATGGTACCGCTCACCTGGAGGCTCCTAACTGCCTCGACTTTTAGCGGAGTGCCGCAGGTACAAAGCCATCGCTTGACACTAATATTTGATAAACGGTTAAAAAAAAAAAAAAGGACCCTGATGCTGGGGACAATTGAAGGCAAGAGGAGAAGGGGGCCACAGAGGATGAGATGGTTGGATGGCATCACTGACTCAATGGACATGAGTTTGAGCAAGCTCTGGGATATGATGATGGACAGGGAAGCCTGGAGTGCTGCAGTCCATGGGGTTGCAAAGAGTCAGACAGGGCTTAGCGACTGAACAACAACAACAACTGTGCCAAACATTAGCTCACTTACTCCTCTCAAACAACTAAGATCCTGATATTTCCTTTTCAGAAAGAAAACCAAGACTCAGGAAGGTGAAGGTCACACAGGTAGTGGCCCAGGCAGCACCTGGCGTCCATCCTGGGTTGCAGGAAGCTATGCATCCACCCCAGTTGTCAAACGGGCCTGGTAGGAGCTGGGGGAGGGAGAAGCACTGCTGTTTGCGCCTCCAAAGGTAGGGGGCCTGTTGGGAAACTCAGAGCAGATGGTATGGGAGAGAGGACCAGAAATCTCTGCCCTTTGATGTCTTCCTAAGCAAGAATGCAAGCCTCTCTCATTCCCAGCGTCCCCTTAAAGAAGTCCCTTGCCTTTAGGAGAAGATGGAGGGGAGGTGAGCAGTAGCTTATGTTTGTACAACTTTATTGTTCAGTCTTGAAGCCCAGCAAGAAGCCTTGGAGGGGAGTAGGTAATAATAATATTAATATCAAAGACAGGGACTACCTTTATTACAGCTCATTCATTACATGCTAGACATAAAGCACTTTGCTGGGCTTATTCTGACCGATCAGCTAGGCTTATCACTGAGCAATCTCAAGAGCCAAGATGTAACACACACTGAGAGGTTAGGTAACCTGCCTAAGATCATCCAGGTCTGGCTTTGGGAGGGTCGGGGGTGAGGGCAGGTTTACTAAGGTGTAACTTACATACAGTAAAACTCACCCTTTGTTGTGCACAATTCTGAGTTTGTAAAACACACACACACACACACACAGATGTATAACTGCCTGCCATGATCAGGAGGTAGAGGGGTTCTATCACTCCCTCCATGGCCTTGCAGGCAGCATTGGCCGTGATTTTAACGGATGACAAAATGGAGTTTGGGAGAGGTGGTGGTGTTGCCTAAGATCGCTCAGTCAGTAAGTGACAGATTGGAGACTTGAACTTCCATTATGTGCCTGCCAGATCAGCTGCCTGCACAGTGTAGCCTCCTAAATCTACTGAGCTCAACAGTCAGAGGCTGGGGGTGTGGAAGTGAAGAGCCTCCAAAATCCCCCCCACCCCCCACACTCTCCACTGCTCACACCGGTACTTAAGCAAACACCCACCCTTCCAGGAAGGGTGAGGAACAAAGAGAGGCCACATTCTGCAAGGCTGGGGAAGCCCCACGTGAAGAGAACAGCAGCCGCTGGGTCCAGGGAGCGGAGTCTAGGGGCAGCCTAGGCTCTGGGTCCAGACAGACTAGGGTACCCAGCGATTTGATGAGCCTCCACTGCCAGCCTGGTTAATGAGTTACTCTCCTAGTTAATTCCCCTGCACGTCGAGGCCGGCAGCGCCAACACTTCCAAGCTCCTGGTCCTGGCGCATGAATTAGCATAGATTACTCTCCCCTTCCAGGACTTCCGAGTGAGGCCCCTCACTCACTGGAAACCCGCTTCTTCCTCACAGGGGCCCAGGAAAGGCGTGGGGCCAGCAGGGAACAGGAGCAGAGGAACTGGCTCGTCTTTCTGCTGCCAAGGAGGCCGACAGGAGATTCTCTCAGCCTCACCCACCTGCCGATAACTAGAGCCTGCTGGGGTAAAGCCAGCCCCCTCCAGGGCAGTTTGCAAGAGGCGGGTGGCCTGTCTCTTGTAGGCTGGGAGAAGCCTGGGTCCTCTGCCCTGGCCAACTGGTCATACTTTGGGAGGGAGACTGGGGGTCTGGGATCCAGACCACTCACTTCCTTAGGACACTTTGTGGACACATCTTGACCAAAGCAGGCGAAAGCATTTACGGTGGTACCAGTAACACTTGAGTGCTCAGCCTGAGAGTTTAGAAGAGATGGCTTCACCCTTCCGCCCAGACACTGGGTGGAAGCCCTTGGCTTTCAAGATTGTGTCCTCTTATTCCCCTCAGCTAAGATCACGAATACTGACTGTTCAACGAATGGCCATTCCCTGCCTGCAGACAGCGTGGGGCTTTTAGTATCCCCAGTTTCCATTTGGAGCCTAAGGCTGAGTTTGACAGGTCTGGTCTGCAGGTGAATCTGAACCTCCAGCCCTCCTGGAGATGTTTCTATGGAGAATGGGGTCCTCTCCCACAGACTCCAGGATCGGGGATCTACAACCCACCTAAACTGGGTGCTTCTTTCTGGGAACAGAGGGCTGACCTCTACTTCTACCCCAGATTGGCTGGCTAGTGCAGCCCAAAGACTTCCAGTTTTCCTTGTGGCTTCAGGCTCTGTGTTGGCCTGAGCACAATGGGGCTTGTGTCCCTACAGCCTAAGAGAAGGAAGGTTTTCTGAACTGGAGATGATATTTTTGGTGGTCTGTGGTTTAGGACCCAGGGAGATAGTATTCAAAATGCACCCCACCCCAAAAGGCTGGATCCAGCACCCTGTTTCCTTGGGCCTGTGGGAAAGGATGAGGGGATGCCACAAAGCAAGGTGGAGAGAAACTGCTAAGGGTGAAAACACAGCCAAGAGCCTTGCCCATAGCTGGCATCAGAGAGCTGAAGTCTGAGGCAGGGCAGGCTTCTTGGGACATGAACACAAAGCTGAGGCCCAAGACTGTCCCGTGTGTGAATGTGTGTATGTGCCCTGGGAAGGCTGGGAGGAGGCAGCACCATGATCTCTGCTGGGTCCTCACTAAGGCCAGGTGCCCAGACAACCTCAGAAAACGCACTCCTAACCCCTTTCTTGCCTAGAGTGTTTTCCAAAGGGGTGTTTGGACCCTCCTCTCACTGCACCCCCAATACAGACTATGCCTGGAATAAAGAAGAAATTGACATGAACATAAATACACAGCAGATGTATCCTCAGAGGATCAGGGGTGACCCCAGGACAGGGAGCAGGTAGCTGGCAAGGCAGAGGAACAAGTTCCCAGACCTGGGGACTTACGACCGATGAATCTAGGGCCGGTGCAGCCTGACTTACAGGACTTCCCTCTTCTCCCCCTCCCAATCGACATTTTTTCAGTCTCACGGGCAACCTCAACACCAAACACAGGCATTTCTTCGTCCTTAAGCAAAATGACATGGGCCTCCAAGTAAGAGATTTAAAGGATGCCAGATTTTTTTTAAAATCATTAATTGTAAACGTGCAAAATACCTGCTGGTACTTCACTTTAGAAGAATGTAATTGGCAAAAAGAAAAAAAAGAGAAAAAAAAAAAGAGGCGGCTGATGAATAGATAATAGATCTTTAACCACCAATAAACAGAGAGCAGCGCCAGCAGCCTGGGGGATGTGATCATAATTATGCTGCTGCGTGAGCCAATGGGGACGAGGGAACTCGGCCCTAAAATCATCCCAAAACCGAAGGCAAGCTCGAAAATGCGGACACGGCCTAGGACTGGAGAAACGATCTGCACTCACTAATTGCAAGCCCTGGGTTTGCACAGCAACCCACCCCTGGGACGACAGATGGCAGAATAATAATAGAAATAGTGACAATAAATAATAATAATGACAACAACACTGACAAAAATAATAACGACAACCTAACGGTAACAGTAACAGCACACCAGCCTCTCCCTTGACCTTGGACCCCTAGTCCCAGATATTGCAGAAGGAGCTGTTTGGGGGAAGGAGATGAGCCCCTTCCCGGAAAGGAAAATCGAGACCCTGTGGGGGAAGCTGGAAGCGCCCACCGTCCCGGCAAGGTGATCCACTCCGGTCTCAACTTGGAAAGTAACGAGCCGCGTCAAGGATGGAGAGATCGGCGACCCTGAGATCTCGAGGCTACGCGCGGTTGGAGGACCCCCAGCACCCCTCCACGCTAGGCTCCCTCCTCACCTAGGAAATCGCCGGCAGTTTCGCTGACCGAACAGCTCCGTTAACCCTCGCGGGGAACCCACCCCTTCCCGCTTACCCTCGAAAGCTCCAGGGGCGATTCCAGCTCCCCAGACGCCGGGCTGCGGAGGGTAGCAGCGCGGAAGCGCTGGGCGCGAGGAATATGTAGTGTCCGCGTGTCCGTCTGTCCCCCCCAAGCCCGGGATCGGCAGGCTGGGGAATCCAGGGGGCCGCAGAGGAGGCGGCGCCGACCGGGGACTCTGCAGGGACCGGGTTGCCCCGGAGGGAGTGATGGTGGTGGAGAGGAGGCGGTGGCCGAGGGGGAGGAGGTGGGGAAAGAGGAGGAGGGAGAACTGGAGGAGGAGAATGAAGAAGAGGAGGAGGAGGAGGAGGAGAAGCGAAGGAAGAGGAGGAGGCGAAAGAGGAGGAGAAGAAGCCGCCGCGGCGCCGAGGGAGCGAGTGAGCTGGGGGCGCGGGGCGACGGCGCCGGGAGTCCTGCAAATTCTTCTGGAAGGATTTTTCCCCCTCTCTCCAGGTTGGGCGCGTTTGGTGCAAGATTCTCGGGATCCTCGGCGTTGCCTCTCCCTCCCCCTCCCCCCTCCTTTCCTTTTTCCTTTCCTTTCCTTTCTTTCTCCCTTTCCTCCCCCCACCCCCACCCCCAACAAACAAGTCCCCGATTCTCGTCCGTTCTCGCCGCGGGCAGCGGGCAGCGGGCGGCGGAGGCAGCGCGCCGCGGTCGCCGGGCCCCGGGAGCCCCGGGCGCCCGCTCCTCGGCGCAGCATGTTCCAGCCGGCGCCCAAGCGCTGCTTCACCATCGAGTCGCTGGTGGCTAAGGACAGTCCCCTGCCCGCCTCGCGCTCCGAAGATCCCATCCGTCCCGCGGCGCTCAGCTACGCCAACTCCAGCCCCATAAACCCGTTCCTCAACGGCTTCCACTCGGCCGCCGCCGCCGCCGCCGCCGGCAGGGGCGTCTACTCCAACCCGGACTTGGTGTTCGCCGAGGCGGTCTCGCACCCGCCAAACCCGGCCGTGCCAGTGCACCCAGTGCCGCCGCCGCACGCCCTGGCCGCCCACCCCCTGCCCTCCTCGCACTCGCCACACCCCCTCTTCGCCTCGCAGCAGCGGGACCCGTCCACCTTCTACCCCTGGCTCATCCATCGCTATCGATATCTGGGCCACCGCTTCCAAGGTACGTGCCACGTCGCGGGGCCGCGGAGCGCTTCATCCCACGCTGCCCTCGGCCTGCTCCGGGTGGGCGCCGGGCGAGGCCTGGATGGAGGTTCTTCCGGCTCGACCGCCCGCGCGCTGCGTCTGGAAACTGGGCGGCTAGGAGTCGGGCATGGTGTTGGTCCCCAGTCTCCGAGCTGCGGCCGGTTTGGGGGCTGGCCTGCGGCCGCTTACCCCTTTAGGGAGGGACGCAGAGGAGTTGCTTCCGAATGCTCTCTAGGCGGGCTGTCCTAGCCTGCTGCGAGTGCTGGACACCGAGGAATCCGTGGCCCGCGGGGTGCCCAGGCTCTCCGTCTCCTCGGCTATGCTCTCGCCGTCCTGGCTCCTAGGGGCGCGGGCAGGGCCTGGCCTCAGGTTCGCCTTCCACTGCGTGTTCGCCACCCACTCCGCGCCCGTGCCTCCTAGACCCGCGACGTCTTGGTCTCTGACCCTCTTCCAGCAGCGAAGAGACCCTCACGCCCCCGGAGCAAAGTCAGGGGGCTTGTTTTATTCTGCTTATTTCGGAGGCTGGGGAGCGGCGGGAACCGCGAGGGTAGGAACCTCTCCGAGGCTCGGCACTCTCGCGGTGACCTACTCAATTCCGGCGCCGAGCCGCCGCGGCGGGAAGGCAGGTTCGGTCTGATTTTTGTTTTTGTTTTTCCTTTAAATGAACCGGGTCGGAAGATGGGCTAGAGGAGATGTTTGGGTGTTTTCCTTTCTTGCTGTTTTTGGGGATTTGTTTTTTTTTTTTTTTTTTTTNTTTTCCCTCGGGGGGGGGGGGGGGTTAGGAGGAAAGTTAAAACTCCAGTAAAGGGGACAAGTAATTAGTTTGGCGATCCGAGCAGGGAGAAGACCTACCTCCCGAGGCAGCCGATCAATACTCGGCGGCTTGTCCATTTGTTAACCCTTTGCGTTCCTGCCAGCGCCTAAAGTCGGGTAGACCCCCCCTCTTCCTTAATTTCAGAAACCAAACCAAACAAAAACAACGTTTTACCCTATTCCCAGACCGGATTTGCCTCCATTCCTCCCTGAACTGTCGGTTTGTTTTTCTTTGGGTTTTTGGTGAATCGATTTCCCACCCTAGTGAGTGAACCTGAAACTGGCTTTGCTCGAAAAGTTTAGGGCTCTCTTTCCTCATTCTTCAGCAGCCACGGTCTTGGTCCCCACACCAGACTCGGAGTAGCTGGGATCTTCAGGGCCGCGGACCGTCCTAAAAGGTGCCCGCAGCTCCGTTCCCACCCGCCCCCCCACCCCGCCCCCGGGTTACGAAGCCTTCGCTCGCGTCTCCTAGTTCTCCGGAGCAAGGCAGCGGGGAAGCCGGGACCTCGGGGAGGAAGCGGCAGCAGAAACCCTGCGCACCCGCCGGAGAGATTTCTGTGAAGCCCGGGCTGCAACGACACGCCCGGCCTCTGAGCTTTTCCGGAGGAGAAAGACTTTTAAAATGTGTACCCGAGAAAACTTTAGATAGCGGCTCATCACCTCTCCGCCCCTCATCCCCGGGGGCAAAGTTTTCTCCGAGATTAGAAAAAAGAGAAAGCCGTTTCTTTGGGTCCAGGGCGCCAATCCCCGGATCCGGCCTTGCTGCCCCCTCCTCGATCCCCGGGTGCCCGGCGCGGAGGTGGCGAGGCCCGCGGCGCCCGGGGGTCTGCAAAGTCCGCCGAGGACATCTGCTGGGTGGCAGCCGCTCAGGTCCGGGCCCAGCGGACAGGGCCAGGCGGCTGGACCGGCGTTCCCTTCGCGCGTCGGGCCCCCCTGGGCCAAGCCGCACCGGCTACGTCCGCGAAGGCCCTGAGCGCGCGGCCAGGTCAGCCCGGCTCCGGAGAAGCGCGCGGCCCGGGCTAGGACGGCCCCCTCTAACAGGGCTTCTGCTGTGTTCCCCGCAGGGAACGACACGAGCCCGGAGAGCTTCCTTTTGCACAACGCGCTGGCCCGAAAGCCGAAGCGGATCCGCACCGCCTTTTCCCCGTCCCAGCTTCTGAGGCTGGAACACGCCTTCGAGAAGAACCACTACGTGGTGGGCGCCGAGAGGAAGCAGTTGGCGCATAGCCTCAGCCTCACGGAAACTCAGGTGAGCGGCCCCGGCGCGGCCACCGCATCCCGGATCCCCGGACACACGCAGCCCGCAAAGTGCGGAGGGCCTTCCGCCAACAGGCCGGGAGTTACTCCCACGCCCTGGGTTCAAGATGTGTAAGATTTGAGGGGCCCTTGGCTTCCTTGGGCTCCAGCACCGGACTGTAGGAGTCCACCCGCTGGAGGTTCCGGGGGGGCGGGGGGGGAAACCGGCTGAGGTGCTCTTTCTGTAGGGCCGGGCTGGACTCGCAGCTCCTGGCTGAGACACCTCTGCACTTTTGATGAGACTTTCGGTGCGAGTCTGGGGGCACGACTGGGGCCAGGAAGAAGTGGAGTGTTTGGGGCGCTAGGCTGGCAAGAGAGGGCTGGGAGTGGGTTAAGAGCGAGGTCTGTGCTGCCAGAGGCTCACGGCTCACACGGACAGCTCCCAGTTACTCCCCTTGAGGGGAGAGGAGGATCAGGCCACCGAGCCAGGCATCCTGGGTGCGTCCCTAAGTTGGAGAAACTGAGCCAGGAGGCTGCGGAGAGGGGCTGCCTCAGGGGGCAGATCCCTGCCGCGCAACAGGGTCCCCCGGCGGGCCAGGCTCCGGCCGGCCCCGGGGTTGGGGAGGGGGCTTCGGGCTACAGTAGGCGCTACTGTACGCGGAGCCGCAGGGCGGGGTCAAAGTTCCCGGCAAACAGTAACATTTTCGGGCAGATTAAGTTGTAACACTTTTCCTGGGAGGCGCAAAGAGGTCGAGGCTTTTGTTTTAAAACGTCCCCCAAGACAAAACCGAGGAGGGCCTCGCGGGTTGGTGCGGGGCCCGGCACAAGGCGCGGCCCGGCTGATTTCTCCTGGATAGCCGAGGCGGCGGTGGTCTTTGTCCGCCTCGCTGCCCACGCTGCCTGGAGTCTTTGTGTGCGTGTCAAGCCCCGAGCGCACCGACGCGCGCCTTGGGCGAGCGCCGGGGAGAAATGAATCGTCCTCCCCCTCAATTAGCAAACTCAAAGCAAATTAAACTCAGCCTTGTTCCAGCTCGGCTTTTTCATGGGAACACTTTGGGGGACTGGGGGCATTCGGGGAGAGCAAGCCGGGACCTGGGCCTGCCGACTCAAAGGAGAAAGCCCAGCGGACTTCAGGGGCTTAGGGGTACTGCTGGCAAAGTGGGGACAGCCCCGGGGCGTGGAAGGTGCAGTCACCACCATTTTCCTCACCTGTCCCTCGCTGCTGAGAAGCTTGGGCAGTGCCATTGTGTGGTCTGGTCAGTGTATAGGGACCCATCACCAATCTCCCCCAGGGACCGGTGCAACCCAGTCCCACATCAGTGCTCCCCAGACTTCCAGCTGCCCTCTGGGGAGGCCAGGCCGCCAGCCCCGCCCTGCTGGGAAGTGATGCGATGGGGTGGGAGTTTGGCCTTGGCCTGTCCTGGAGCTGGTCAAGAAGAGTACAGAGGGGGCTCTTCCCTTGTCTTTCTCAGTTTTACTTCCCCTCTATCCCACGGTCTTGCGGAAGCTTTCACTTTTGAGCCTCTTTTCCCAGCTGAAAAGATTCAGCTGGGTTAGTCCCCAGGGCTCTGTACCCCACCATCTGCCCTGGTTTTCCCCCCAAACGCCCACCCCCGACTGTCTCCCACAACTGCTCCTGCTCACCTGCGAGAGTCCTGGGCACAGAGGAGGAAGCGCAGGCAAATCCTGACTGCCTACCCCAGGGCCCAGGCCTTGCAGAGGAGGCGCTATATTTAGGCAGTGGCTGCGGAAGCCAGCAGAAAATAAAAGCCAGCACGTTCGGCCCAGCAGCGGGAATGAACTCTTTGCGGCACTGATTAGGTAGAGGGAGTGAGGGACCTTTTAATTTTCCTTTACTTATTGTTTTATAGAGGCTTCCCAATGTTTGCCAGGCTTTTTCACTTAATGGGGATGTGGGTGTCTTGAGCTGGTTGAAGCTAAAAGGGGCACTGAGCACGCGGGGCCGGCGGGTCCAGGGGAAAGGTTTCCCCAGGAGGGCTCAGAAGGGCCGGGATCCAGGCTTCCCCGGGTGTGGCAACAGGAGCTCTGTTCCCCCAGGGAAAGCTCTGGGGGGTGGGGGTGGGGGTGCCAGTTAGCAGGATGCGCGGCCTGAGGCACTGGACTTTTGTAGTCTCAGCCCAGGGTCTGGCCAGGCAATAGAGGAGGAGGTCGGAGGGCGCTGTGCAGGAATACTAACGCGCCTTCTCTGCCTCTCCTTCAGGTAAAAGTATGGTTTCAGAACCGAAGGACGAAGTTCAAAAGGCAGAAGCTAGAGGAGGAAGGCTCAGATTCGCAACAAAAGAAAAAAGGGACGCACCATATTAACCGGTGGAGGATCGCCACTAAGCAGGCGAGTCCCGAGGAAATAGATGTGACCTCAGACGATTAAAAACACAGACAGAACCCCACCGAAACGGATATCACGGAGCAAAACAGAGACAGGGAGAGGAGGGGAAGACGGAAAAAAAAAAAAAAAAAAAAAAAAAAAAAACCCTACAAAACAAAAACAAACCGCACACACACATTCACGGAGAAGGGGAGAGGGCGTCAGAGAGAGGAGCCGCGGCGCGATGCAGACGGGCGGCAGAACGCAGGGTCCTGATCCGAGGCCGCGCCTAGATGGCAGAAGACAGGAGGCTCCGTGATGAACACGCTACCCTTGTCTAAAGAGGCAGCTGAGTGAGTGAGGCAGAAAGAGACAGAGAGAGAGAGAGAGATCCTAAGGTGGCAAAACCGAAGGCGCTCTGACAAGGGGAGCTGTCAGTCAAACGCCAAACCAGCGAGACAAGATGATTGGCAGGTATTCCGTTTATCGCAGTCCGATTTATTTAAAAAAAAAATAATAATGATAATGGTGATGATAAAAGAAAAAAAAACCCAACCACGCACAGGACTTTAAAATTTTGCCCTTTGAAGTGTTTTTTCCCCCCAATCTTTAAAAATAATTAGTAATAATAACAATCGAGATTCCATATCCAGCCCCATCCCACACCTGTTCAAAAACTTGAATTGCATGTAGCAGTTGTTGGGCGAATGGTGTCTAAAGACAGAAAATGAATTGTAATTTTCTTTTCCTTTTAAAGACAGGTTCTGTGTGTTTTTTATTTTGATTTTTTTTCCAAGAAACGTGCAGTCTGTAAACACTTTTTGATACCTTCTGATGTCAAAGTGATTGTGAAAGCTAAATGAGGTAGGCTCAGCAATAGCGGTCCTCTTTCAGAGAAACGGGGAACAGGATTGGGGGCTGGGGGTGGAGGGGGAGGGTGCCCATAAGAGGAGTCAGAGCTTGTGCTGGGAAAAGAAACAAGAACAAAAAACCTAAATTCTATTTCTTGGACATTCCCTTTCCTAACATCCTGAGGCTTAAAACCACAAAGTAAACTTCTCCTTTTAGTCATTGAAGATATTGGCTGAGTTCACCCATTTGCCGTAAAGGCCATTCCAAACTTTAAATCTATATATTGCAAAAATTGAAGGACTGTAGTTAGCGGGGATGATGTTAAGTGTGGCCAAGGACACTGCGGCAAGTTTTCAAGCACTGAGTTTCTATTTCAAGATCATAGACTTACTAAAGAGAGTGACAAATGCTTCCTTAATGTCTTCTATACCAGAATGTAAATATTTTTGTGTTTTGTGTTAATTTGTTAGAATTCTAACACACTATATACTTCCAAGAAGTATGTCAATGTCAATATTTTGTCAATAAAGATTTATCAATATGCCCTCAGAGTAGTCGTCTTGGGAAATTTGAAGTGATTTTTTTTTTTAAAGCATCTTTTTAATTTGAGTGTGGTCCTTCCCCAACTAGGCTCAAGAAGCCCAGGCTCACCACCCACAAAAGGGCCAGACTGATGGATTCTTGGGCATTTTAAAGAGAGAAGAGGGTGGAAAAGGGGGAGGATTAGGAAAACTTAAGTCCTTCAGAAAAGAGATGGAAGAAAAGTTTTCCATCCAGACCTCTGCCCATTGCACGGCCTAAAGAAGGAGTTTAATTCGAATTTCAGGTTAAACATGCTTACTACTCTTAATCGCTAGTTATTAAAAAAAAAAAACTAGACATATAGCTATGCACTGAAGAATATTCCCCTAAGATTAGGGAAAACACTTAGCAGAATCAGAAACCTAGGACTTTTAAACTGTGTTTCTGACCTCAAACCCCTGAAATGTGTCTCTTCTCCCTCTCTTTCTTCCTCCTACTCTTCCTTCCTTCTCTCCTCCCTCCCTCCCTTCTTTACTTCCTCTCTCCAGCCCCAATCTGCTAAAGGTGATGAGATGAGCCCAAGGGCCTCAGCAGCCTTATAAGGCAAGCATTCTGAGAAACCTTCAACTCTCAATTTTAACAGTAAAGAAAAAGTTGTAACCAGTCTTGGAGGAAACTTAGCTCCCCCCACCTCTTTCCCCCTTCTGGGGGTACGAGGTTGTTTTTGCATGCTTCATTTGCTTCTTATCCTGATAGGCTGCATTAATCAGTTTTATTTCCATTGATAGAGAAACCTCGTCTGTTCTGTTCGAGCTACAAAGCGTCCTGCAAGCTTTTGTGAAAGTGCAAATCAGTTTAAGCAATTATCATACCAGGAATATGAAGGGGAAAGAGGAGGCCTTGCCCAGTGGTCTCCTTTAATCTCTTAATCCACGGATCCAGGGGGGCTGCCTGGACATAATTTAGGACAATCTCCCCACCCTTTACACTGTGATAAGGCCAAGTTACAATGCAGGGCAAAAATACAAGCTTTGTTAACATCCTGCCTTGAAAAGTTAAGATTAGACATTCTGTGCACGTGTGGGGACTATAGGGCACTATGGAAATTTTTCTTTCTTTTTTTTCCCTCCCCTCCTCTCTTCTAAAGTAGATTTCATTCTTGGTCTCTCTCTCTCTTTTTTTCCCCTTTTATCTCTGCCTTTCTCACCCCCTTCCTCCCTCTCTGTTTCTCTGGAGAACTCTGGATGTTTGTAGGGGCATTTCCACAGAGACTCCCTGGAAAGGTGTGGGTGGACTGGGGGAGACTTGGCTCTGAGGATGCTGGGCGAGAAGGGGCTGATTGAGAAGAGGGGTACTCTTCAGGAGAGGGGGACAGGTGCTGCCCTGTGTATCCCGGGGACTCAAGTGGGGGATTCCAGCCGCTTGGACAGTGGGACCTCTGTGGCCAATAGCTGTCCTCTGTGCTTCGCAGTCCCTGCTGCAGCACCTCCGCACCTCCTTCTTTTAAACAAGTTACTTTTCCCTTCGACCCACTTCCTCAAGCCCAGAACACCTCAAATAGGGAGCACAGACCTGTTAAAATTCAGACTAGCCTTTCCTGAAGAAAATTTCCCATCTTGACAAAAGGTTTATTTCTGCAAGAAACATATACTTTTAAGTACCAGGAAAGGGGGAGGGTGATGAAGATTTTTTTTTTTTGTAAATGTCCTATGTAGTGTAACAGCAATAAAATCATCAGAGAATACTATTAGCTTTGGGAAAAAAAAAAACCTAAAAGCTTTATTACAAACCAAGCTTTGAAAATAGGGGGGATTAGGCGGCTGAAAGGGTCCCACAATGGTAAGAAGAAAAGGTTTCATGCTAATGAGGTTAATGCCCTTTGTATCTCGGGCCTCCACATCTTCATTACGCGCTATCTCCGGCTGCACGGAGCGGCTCAGAGAGCCGCAATCCACTCCAACGCCCCCCTTCCCGGCCCAAAGAAGGATTTGATAGCAGCTCTGTTCAAACTAGATAATTATATCTTTTCAAGTCGGAATTAAGATAAAGAAAGTGAAGCAGAGGCGGCTCGCCTTGATCCACTGCAAACAAATTTGGCGCACTTTCGAGTCCTTCCCCCGCCTCAAAAAGGCTGGACAGTCAGCTTATTAGCCGCTCGTTTGCTTTATTAATTCATCTATTTAAAGTGGCAGGATTAGAGGGTCTAATGTGGACGCGGGCTGCCGTGGCGCCGAGGAATATAAATATTTGCGAGATGCCATCCCACGATGACTATCTGGGCGCGGGGCGCGGGGCGCAGGGCAGGGTGCGGGGCGCGCGTGCTGTGCGGCTGCGTCCGCGTCGCAGGGCGCGCGTGCTGGGCTGAAGCCCCTTGGGGAGGGGAGCGTGGGAGCTATGTGCTGCAGGTCTGTGTCCTCCCTCGTGGTTCATGGGTACCAGGCCTAGATAACCCTGGCAGGGCTCAGTGGGCATCCAGGGTCAGGTTCGGCTTTTCTCCCTGCACCTGGAGCTGCACGCATGTTGCCTTGTGTCCTGCCTGTTATCCCGGATGGGATAGGTTACACATCTGATCGATGACCGGCTCTCTTGTCGATTGTGTGCGTTCACCTGAGCTGAGTGAGTTTAGGGAGCCGAGAGGCAGGGGTTCTCCGTTAACATTTCCCCGAGAGTCAGGTACAAGGCAAGGGTGCCCCAACCTCATTCTCCTTCCTGCGAGGTACACAGGAGCTCGGAGCGCGTTTCTCATTTGGGGTCCAATTCCTTAGGGCGGCAAAGGGCCAGGTAGGCGCAAGCAGAGGTGGAAGGTGGGGGAGGGGAGTGCGTTCAAGGCATCAGAAACTCGTGAGAAAGGAAAAGCCTGGGACCTCCGAACCGTTACCCCCTTCTGCCTCTTGTTCTGCGTGTCCGGTACCCCCGGCTCGCTCCAGCTCTGTTTCTGGCAGCCAAGCGCAGACGGAGCGGGAGCTTTGGCGGCGGCCCGGAACCTGCAGGGCCACTTTTGTGCTAGGGGCGGATTGTGGCAGGCAGAGAGCCGCGCCAAGCGGGCCAGGCAGAAAGGGGGCTCGGGCCTGCGCGCGGCCTTGGAAACCTCGGCTCCTCCCCGTCCCCGCCTCGAGTCGCAGGAAACAAAGTCTCGGACGCGCAGGCCCATTGGGGCGGGGTGGGGGGGAACTCTGGCGGGTCGGAGGCCTGGCCCAGGGCCCCGCGCCGCCGTTGGGGGGATCTGGGCTGGGCTCCCCGCATGTGGGCAGTTGCAAGTCGGAATAAGGGTGGGGACGTGAGTCAGGGCGGGAGGCTGCGCTTGTGACTTTGTAGAGGTTGAGTGTACGAGTTAGGTCTGTAAAACAGTTGTGCTTGTGTGTCTGAGCCAGGAGAGGTGAAGTCAGGGTGTGTAGGTGCTAATTGTGCTAACTGCGTGAGTTAGAGGCCGGAGAGGCCAGTGCTGCGTGTGTAGATTTGAGAGTGTGTCCAGGTGGCCAGCTTTCCTTGTGCGTCCAGATTGTATGGAGTTCGGACCGGAACGTGCAGCTGCGCGGCTGTAATTAGCGTGCTTACAGAGGTGTAGAAACGCAGTTGTGCGTAAATTCGTGTGCCAGCGTCGAGTGGTCGTGAGCCCCGCGATAGCTGTGGATCTCGGAGGATGGGAATGACCTCGGTGTGTGTGGCTCGCGGGAATACTTCTCCGTGTTTAGGTGGGCGTCCCGGGTGATGGCGTCCGTGCCGCCACCGGGGCGGCACTTATGTGTCTCGGGATCTAGACGTGCGTGTCTAGTGAGAAGGCTCGGGTTTGGTTATTGTTTCCGCAGCGCACCACTCGCCCCGGAGTTTGGCAAACAGCTGGGGGTTTTTTGGTAACTGCGCATTTTTCCAGGCCGGCCTTTCTTATTGCGGCAATCAGCTTTTGGTTTACGTGGGTGATGCCTCCGAGCAGCGGCAGGCCCGGCGGGAGAGGAAGCGGGCCTGCCGCGTTCGGCGGGCGGCGGTGCCCCAAGGCCGAGTTGCGGGGCCGTGGGCGCGCCAGGTCCGCGGCTCCGCTCCCGCGCCAGCCGCTCGGCCGCCGTCTTCACTTCCCCCAACCCGTCCCTCGGCGAGCGGGAAGTGGGAGTGTTGAGAACCCGCTGACCCCAACCGTGACCTTACTCTGGGAGGTGGCTTCTCCCGGTGCGACCCAGGACTCCGGGAAACCCGAGGCTGTGCCACGCTTGAAAGCGAAAGGTCCATTCATCAGCCGAGCCCCGGCGTCTAATTGGCCTTTTGTTTGTTAGTGCCTGTTGCCCCGCGGGGGGTTGGGGGAACTTGGGAGGGCCTCGCCGGGACTGCAAGTAGGGGTGCCTGGAGCTCCGGGCTGGGGTCCGGGTAGGGCAAAGGCGCGTCGCACTCCTCGGAGGGGGCGCCAGAGCGCGCCAAACATCACGCCCACGTGCGAGGATGCTTGGCTGGAGGCTGGGTCTCCGAGACCCCCCGCGGGATCCTCCGAGCTGCTGGAGACCCACGGACTCGTCTCTGCCCCCATCTCCACCTGCATGCAGACTGAGTCTTCACGCCTTTCCTCCGCGCCTTCGGGTTTTCAGACCTGACTTCCTGCCACTCCTAAGTTCCCAGCACAGGCACTGGCTTTGGGACTGCGTTGGGCTCACGCCCAGCCTTTCTCCCTGCTTCTTTGACCCAGCTCTAGCTGCCTACCATCGAGCGGCTCTGGGTCCCCCTACTAGGCGTCAAGCTGGCACTCTGGTCCCGCCTACACCCAGTTTTGCTGGGTGTAGAATTTTTTTTGCCAGCCAAGGAGGTGGGAATTGATCAACTGTTAGGCGATCAGATCCCGGAGGAAGACCGCGGGTCTCTACCACTCCAAATTCTACCCGGCTCTAAGTCAAGCCTGACCTTCCCTCTCCCTGTCTCCCACCCAGTGGAGCAATCAAGCCTCCTCCGTTCCCCCTCTAACCCACATCTACTGAACACCGCCTAGAGTCCTACAGGGAGCGCAGGGCAAGGTCTCCTCTACCAGCATAAGCCCAGAGACCCAGACG